TGGAGGATGGTAAGGGGGCTGGTTTTTCATTGGAGAACCCCAAATGTCAGTATTTGCAGTTCTTTCTTTTGGCTGTTCAGTTTCCTCCAAAGGTAAACCTTTCTGTTTACTTCCTGAGATAGAAGGTTTGCTGGTAGGGAGGTGCAGAAGATGTAGGGGCTGTAGGATTTGAGCGTGAGATCACTCCCCCTTTCTTCACTGATAAAACTGCTCCAGCTGGTAAACACACCAGTTTCTGCTGGAGTGGAGGAGGGGCACAAATCTGGCTATCCAATTAGAAGGAGGCAATCTAAGGAACTGCTTTTGTCTTATGTTCAAGCAATGTTCTTGCTTCCAGCCCAGTTCCCTCACCCATACATTTGAATATATCTGGCGGTGCCAGGCCTTTTGGTGAGGACTGGCTGGCTTCATTTTGGCGGGGCACCCACCTCTCACTTCCTGACTTCCCAATCTGTTAAGGTCCTGCTCATCCAAGAAGGAGAGCAAGGCCAGTTTTTCCTTCTAGTCTCCCCTAACCTTTCCAGATAATTCTTGTAGAACACCCTTCCCCTCACTACTTGTCTTTGAGGAGGGTAGATCCTCCTCCTCTCCCAGGGGGTAGGAGGGAAAAGGCCCTATCACAAAGACTGGACCAAAAGGCCAGTGACTCATGGCTCATGGTCCCTGTCCCCCTCCTTTTAGAGGCACTGTAATGTGGGGAAGACGACGGGATGATGGAGGAGGGGTGGCGACCCGAGTGAAGCTGGTTCCTGCTTGTGGCCCAGAGGGGAGGGTCTGGACCTGTTATTGGTGGTTGGCTGGCAGTTCTCTTAGCACTCGAGCTATCAGCTTTGAGCCTGAATTGCAATTCTACGATTAGGGAAAAGTTGTGCTCAGAAATTCTGTACTATTCCCTTATATGGGCACATCAAAATGTACTCAATCACATTCATCCTCATTGGCCATTTTGGTTCATTTTCACTTTTGTGATGCCAACAGCAGTGTCACAGTGACCATCCTTGTAGTGGTTAAGATTGTTATGTTTTTCATAGGTGACGTTCCTGTGAGTGGACTAGCTGGGTTTTTGGTGCTTCTCTTACATATTAACTGGTTGCCTGGAAATCTTGTACCAGTTTTACAGCCCTCCCAGCAGTACATAAGCATGTCCTTTTTTCTTCATACCTGTTTTGCTTAGGGTATTTTGTCTTATTTTTTCTTATCTTTGCCAGTTTGGATTGAAGAAAATCATCTTATGATTTTACTTTTCATTTGTTATTTTCTTTTGTAAGAAAGAATAATTTTACATCTGCTTCTTGCCCATGGAGCTATCTTTTTTGTGTATAATAATTTGTCTGTTTGAATTTTTGGACAGTTTTCCTATTGGGGTATTTTCTACTGTTGGAATTCCTTTTTTTTTTGAGACAGGGTCTTCCTCTGTCACCCTGGCTGGAGTGCAGTGATACCAGCATAGCTCACTGCAACCCCAAAGTCCTAGACTCAAGCCATCTTCCTGCCTCAGCCTCCCTAGCAGCTGGGACTATAGGCCTGTGCCACCATGCCCAGTTAATTGTTCTGTTTTTTGTAGGGTAGTCTTGTTCTTGCTCAGGCTGGTGTCAAACTCCTGGCCTCAAGCTATTCTCCGGCCTTGGTCTCCCAAAGTACTAGGATTATAGGTGCAAATGACTATGCCTGGCTGGAATTATTTTGCTGTTAGAGTTTTTTTTTTAATTGTTGGAACTTTTTAATACATTGATAATATGAATAAATGTTGACACTGTGTTCCCAGTTTGCCATCATCTTATTTATAACATTTTGTGTTATACAGAAAAGTTACATTTTTATATATTCATATTAGATAGGCAGCATAATCTGCTAAGTCTCAGTTTTCTCTTCTACAAAAATGGGATAATAACATAAGCTATGTAATGGCTGTTCAACAAATGATAACATTTGTTATTCTCTGTGTGACACATTGAAATAATTCAGAATCATCTACAATTTTTATTAGAATTGCAAAAATTATGCAAAGATGTTTAAACTGGATATGAAAATGGATAGTGAATAAACCTCTGAATCTTTTAGGCTAGTACAGATAGGCAAGTTTTAATTTCTGCGTTTACTTTTCTAATTCTCTCCCTTAAAAAAATGTAATGAACTCCAATTGATGCATTCTCTGGAGTAGGAGACCACCTGAACTCTGAGTAGAGCACGAAGAGACTAGTGTTTCCTTACAAGTTTTTTATTGTAAGGGATTATGAACATATTTCTGGTAAGGAATCCTTTCCTGGCATCCTTATTTCTTTTATATCCATGAGATATGTTTAAAAAACCTAAAAGCACATACTAACCTCTCCTGCTTTTAAGACAATATGAAGATGAGTTTCCTGTCCTCCAAGAGGTCGATAAACGTACTCCTTAAGGTCAAGTGCACGTTACTTTGAGGTCAAGGGCACGTTGCCTTGCAGTTACATAAACTGTTTTTATGAATTGCTTTTATTTTTAAGCTATTTAACTAATAAAATTTTTTATTTTGCATTTGTAACTTCTGAATAAATTCATAATATAATAGTTCTCATAAGACACTATTATAATAAAAGTAATGTGATTCCACATATAATTTTACTATAATTTCACAAGTGGCTCAGAAGATATGGCCTGATTGAAGTCTAATGAGTCACATTTTAATAATATTACATACCGGAGCACAGAGCAAAAAAGAAATCACCACCAAGGAAGTTTGTAAGCTTTTGGATAGTTAGTAAATATGCTTTAGGACACTTACCTTCGTAATTCAGTCCTACCCTATGTTGAGCAATGCGCCTATCCTAAGGAAAAGGTAATGTTCTAAAAGCTAGCAAACGTCCTGGGTGGCTAGTGGTGTTCTCTACTCTCTAGATCCCAGCTCACTTCTCCAACAGTTTTTCTCGTGAACACCAAAGGTGGAGTTGGTTCCAGATGAATTCTCAAGAACGATGTATAAATATACATGTGCTTGGCGTGGGCTTTGACATTTGCGTTGGTTTGGTTTATGAGATTTCTTCATACCTTTGAAATTGTTTCTTTATCTCTACAATCACTCTATATTGTCATTTTTTTATTTTAATATGGCTCTATTCAAATGTCTACGAGACTTTATGAAAGTCAAATAGCATCTCCTCCCCAAAGTTAACCATTTCAAATGATGTTGTTAAGATGCTTTGAGGTGAAATGGTTCTTACCTGGAATGTGACAATTCCAGACCCTTCATAACGACTGTGTGCTTTGCTGCATTTTAAAGGTATTTGTGTCTGGTCAGGGCTCATGCCTGTAATGGTAGCACTTCGGAAGACTGAGGTGGGATGACTGCATGAGACCAGAAGTTCAAGATGAACCTGGGCAACATAGCAGGACCCATCTCTATAAAAAATAGAAAAATTAGCAAGGGCATAGTGGCACGAGCTTGTAGTCCAAACTAAGGCAGAGGCTGAGGCGGAATGATCACTTGAACCCAGGAGTTTGACATTGCAGTGAGCTATGACAGCACTGCACTCTAGCCTAGGTGACAGGGAGAGACCTTGTCTCAAAAAAAAAAAAAAAAAAGAGGGCATTTGCTTTAGAACAGTTGATGAATTGGGTCCTTGTATGTTAAATGCATACCACTTGATAATTAACTTCAAGGGAGAAACTTAATCTAAAGGAAAGATAATGTCTTACTATTTTTCTTTCTGCTGGCTTTTCAACATGGACGGATCAATTTTCTTTCTTCTTTTTTTTTTTAATTAAATTTTTTTTTTCTTTGAGACAGAGTCTCACTACGTCACCCTCGGTAGAGGGCCATGGCGTCACAGCTCTCAGCAACCTCAAACTCTTGGGCTTAAGTGATTCTCTTGCCTCAGCCTCCCAAGTACCTGGGACCTGCCACAAAGCCCGGCTATTTTTTGGTTGCAGTTGTCATTGTTGTTTAGCAGGCCTGGGCCGGGTTTGAACCTACCAGCCTGCATGTATGTGGCCCGTGCCATAACCACTGTACTACAGGCGCCAAGCCGGACGGATCAATTTTCAGTGAAGCTTTATTAAGATGGACGTCCAGAATTTAGCTTAATTGCTTCCACAACTAGATAAGAGTGATTTGTGTGTCAAAATTAAGCATATTGGCAGGTCATCCTGTAAAAGTTTGCACGTAGAGTTGAAGTCAACTTACATTTTTATTTGAAGTTCTTTTTAACAGTGTTTATTTCTTCTGCCAGTTATTTTATTTTATTGACTGTTAATTTATCAACCCCTCTTTAAAAAAAAAAAAAGTGAGAGGAAGAAAGGCCATAGCATTATCACATTTGTATATGTGAGTTCCCTAAACCATATGGTGATTTCTAATTAGAATACAAAAGGTTCTGTGACAAGACTAACTTCCTAGCAGCTGGCATGGTGGGCACCACCATGGAAGGAGAGAGCTTTCTCGAATTTCCAACAAGGACACTTCTGAGAGAAACTGTGTGGTCCACAATTGTCCTTATACAAAAAGTCTGATAAAGTTATTGATGTGCAGATCAAGCTGGTGTTTCGGAGGTAGTAATTTAATTCTGGATGTTTGATCCCCTCAGTCAGTGGATTGACTTGATTTTTTTAAAGCGGCTTCAATATTTAATTTCACATGTACCCTCTCAGTAGAGATTTCAAAGGATACTTTGCTGGATGCTTGACTGCCTTGTCTATTTGCTCTTGTTTTGCATGCAAGAGAGAGCCAGGAGCTTTCTTCTCATTGTGTACACATGGTATTAATGGATTTACTCTGCCTGTATCGTCTCATTACTGGAAGAGCTAGAAGCACAGAAGTCTTTCAGTGTATGCAAATAAGGCAGAATCATCTACCTGAGAGTTAATATTCTCCTCTTTTAAGTGTATTCTAAATCTAATGTTTGTATTTAGAGCATAACATCCTGTTCTTTTTCTTTATGGGCAAAAAGCTAAGCAGGCTCAGGCAGCTGTTTGATGTTGGCTTCAAGTGTTATTAATTTCATATTCTATTATTCTTTTCACTGTAGCACAAGTGAAGCTGATGTGGAGGCTGTCATGGATAAGTTGTTTGATGAGCTGGCTCAGAAACAAAATGATTGTACGTAAGTTAATTTCTCTTGAAAGAGAATACATTTAGAACACAATGCCCAATCTCCACTGACCAATTAATAAGTTCCATTGCTGTATATGGGTTGATGCCACGCTCAAGTGGCAGTCATTGTATCAGCATTTTGTCTAATTTATGTGTTGAATCATGTGCTATTATTCATCAAGCTATGCATTTCCTATCTGTAAGAGATGAATTTTATAGTAATTATCCAGACAAGATTGAGTCTTTGTTCATGTTCCCATAGTAACTAGACCAAGGATTCTAAAAGTGCAAGGCAGAGAGCTGCGGCTGAATAAAGCCTGTGGAACCGTTGCCGACTGCACATTTGAAGAGCTGTGTGAGAGAGTGAGTATCCAGGCACGTCCAGACTCCCTGGCCTTTTCACATGTTAAAATACTTCATGTTTTCCTCTCTGCCTGTTTCAGATTTTAAAATACTATTCACAGAGTCAGAACTCCTTTAAAAGTCTCATTAAGGAAAACGTTCATCTCTATCTACCATGTGCTTTTTATAGATGTTGGCCCCAAATTTGTACTTCCAGGAGCTCTGAAGCAATATTTAAAATGCAGAGTGGACTGTCAACTGTTGCTAGAAGCAAAAACAAAATCAGTTTCAGGGCTGTTTTGTAAAAGTCAAACAAAAGAGATTTTTAGAAAAATTTTGAGGTGAGGTTAGCGTGTGGGAAAAAGGAAGATGTAGTGATGCTCCCACAGTCCACGGAAGCATGACCAAAAAGCATTTCCATTCTCGGTACACCTTGCCCATCTGCCATTGCTCTAATATCTGACCTATTCCGGCCAAGGTCAAAGAAAGTGAATTCCTATAATTGTGGCACCTGTATAATAGAAATAATGTATTCAACAGCAGGAAAAATATATACCTGTATGCACACACGTTCGTGTGAGAAAGACTCTGATTGCAGATTCATTAGAGATAGGAATTCTGTCTTTTAAAAGCTGTAAAGTTCTCAGTGCTCAATGGATAGTCAATGTATTTATTGATTGTAAATCTTGAGGAAAACAAATCAAAATCAGGCATCTCTTCAAACATAATTCTTTGATTGGCATGTATAAATTAATAATTTATAAATTTATAAATAAATTATAAAAAAAATTATAAATAAATTATAAAAAAAATTTATAAATAAATTATTATTCCAGCTGGTCTCTGATTTATCTTGACTTTTTAGGTAACTAAAGAGGGTTGTTTTCCACTAACAGAAAAGAGAAAAGTCTGATGTATATGGGCAGCCATTTTATCAGGGCTTTTCTTAAAAGGTAGTGCCTTAATTATTTCTAAATAGGGTAAACTTGTAGTTTTTAAGGCAGAGAGATGGATCCAGTTTGTAAGTATTTAGTGCTTCAGAACGAATAGAGTTTAGGATCAGTTAGGATCCTCTAATGGGCGGGTCATGCCAGGGAAAGGCATTCTGGGTCCTAAGGACCTTCACATTTCTATCGTATCAGTCTCATTAAGGTCCCAATAACCTGATATCTACAGATAACATTCTATTGAGGCATCTGTTTAAGTTTTACTTATTTTGCCAGAGAAATAAACTTGAGGAGAATCTCATATATCCAGAAGATTAAGCTCATCTACCTATTCCAGAAAGAACCCAGTGGGGAAAAGGGAAAGACAGGCCCGTTCAGTCTTGTGGGAGAAGGCAAACATGGTCTCTTGGAGCAGATACTGAGAATTTATCTATATTGTTTTATATGCTTGTTATTTTAGGAATCTGAAGTAAGTGACCAGGAAAAGGCCACTTATCAGGGACCAAAATCTTCAGTCTCTTTTTACTAGATGAGAGTGATGGGGAAGAAGGTTGATTTCTTTATCTTGAAAAAATGAAAATAACCCTTATAAAAATAAGTCATTCTTATTTGACAAAAATATGGATAATAACAGCAACTATAAACTACACTCCTAGAATAAACAATGAACAAATTTCCATTTCTTTTTGGCATAACTTTCTTTACAAAATTCTGGGATGAAATTACATTATATCCTTCACTTCACACTCTGGTTGTTCAATCATGGAGGAAATCATTTTTATAAAAGTATTTATGAAGTTTTTCAAAATCCTTTTAAATTCATGAATAAGTCAGTTACGTTCTTTGGCTGTGTTTGCGTTGTCAGTATCCCTGTTGACTGTTTTCTTCTTCACGTTGGCCACATGCTCCCTTGTCAGTGACTTTGCATGGAATGCTTTGCCCTTTCTTTGCACTGTATTTGTGGGATGGTTTTTACATTGGACAAAAGACATTGGCATGATGGGCAGGGGTAGGTCCTAGTATTAAGCTGTGTGAGGGACGCTTGAGGAAGGACTAACTTCTTACGTGATCGTTTCATTTGTGAATATTTTCTCCTTACGATGATTTTGCATTTCTTTGCAACTTTATAACTGTGGCAATCCAGATTTTGGATACTGGCGTGAAGAGAACCATTGAAATCATTCAACTTTAGATGTAGCTTAAAACTCTTAATTAGGTTATAATGATCTTATGAGCCAGCCTAAATAGTTGCCAAAAGCTGTTCAGTGTGAAAAAAAAAAAATCCAAACCAAAGTAAAGAATCAAGCATCTAGTGCATCTGGGACAGTCCCAGCTCTGGATCGCATATTCTCATTTTCTGGGCAGCTCTCAAAGCGTAAGACCCACCTGACCACCATGACCAACACCTTCCGGAAAAAAACCTTTGACAAGGAGTGGTGATGGGTTGATAGTCTGTAATGATTATTTGTGAACCGTGGCCCCTTCCAAGGAAAAAGTAATATGGAAACATATTATTAGTGTTGTGATAAGGTCAAAGGAGGGTTTGACTGGAAGTGCTTGACATGTCTTGAGTAAAATGAAAATGGCCCAGGCCTTCTGCTCCTTGCTCACATCTTCCCTCCCTGTCCAAGCACAGATCCTCAGATCTGGAATTCTGCGGGTTAACTTGTAGTCCATCAGTATCTCTGGATTCTCTTTCTTTGTGAATCTATAATTCCACGTGGTCATGCTCAGAGAAGCAGCCCCAGATAGGAGACCCTGTAGACATGCATAATAATAATGATAGCAATAGTAACAACTAATACAGGAATTAGTTATAGGAATCATTAATATTATCAGGAATCAATATTATCAGGACAATAATAGTAACAACTAATATAGGATTCACGTGACAGGAATTATTCCATGTACTTATATTAGCTCATTTGATACTTACAATGTTATTGTTCCAGTTTTATAGTTGGAGATATTGAGACAATGAGATGTTATTTTCCCAAGGTCACACAGCCAGTAAGGCTTAACCAGGGCTTAAACTCCTTGGTAGTCTGAGAGTCGGGTTCTGTGCTTTCAATCACTATAGTATATCTGAAAATGCTATGGACAAGTTCTGCCTCTAGTCTTTCTTTTTTTTCTTTTTCTTTTCGAGGCAGAGTCTTGCTCTTTCATCCAGACTAGAGTACAGTGGTGTCATGATAGCTCATTGAAACCTCTAACTCTTAGGCTCAAGTGGTTCTCCTGCCTCAGCCTCCTCGGTAGCTGGGACTATAGCCATATACCACAGCTCCCAGCTAATTTTTCTGTTTTTTATAGAGATGGGTCTTACTCTTGCTCAGGCTGGTCTTGAGCTCCTGACCTCAACCAGCCCTCCTGCCTTGGCCTCTCAAAGTGCTAAGATTAAAGGCGTTGACCCATCATACCTGGCCTCTGCTTCAAATCTTTAACATAATTCAAGTTCAACCATGAAGCACAATTAAATGCTTTGTGTATTCCTATATCTGAGCTAAGCTTTGAGACTGTTTTCCTTGCAGTTTTTGATCTGAGCCGGGTTTGAACCCGTCACCTCTGGTATATGGGGCCGGCACCCTACTTCTTGAGCCACAAGTGCCGCCCCAAGCTTTGAGACTCTTATGGAGCATGAAGCTGGCTGGGGACAGACACCCTCCAGTCCTGAGAACCTTCCTCTGTGTTAAAAACCTTAGTGTAGAACTGATAAACTCATGTCATTGGCAGTCCCCTGGTACTGGGTGGAGCTGCTGACCCCTTCATTCTCCTGAAGGCTGTATGGGTCCATTACCTCCGTGCCAGGGTTCTCAAGCCTTAGGCAGCCTCCTCCTTTTACCCCTTAGTAAAGTTATTATTATTTTCTCTTCCTGTCATGGAATGAAAAAGATTGGTAAATGCTACCTTAGCGAACTTTAGGAAGGCAAAGGATGATATGTTTGTCTTTGTTCCTTGCCATTCCCTTCATACCAGAGCTATGGTAAAGGAGAATGAAGATTCATCTCTGTGGACGTGACCTGGACTTAACCTTGATATAGTTACTTGGCTTAGTTGGAGGGTTGTAGAGAAGTCAGAAATATAGTTACTTAAGTCAGTGGTTCTCAAAGGTGGTATATGGACCTCTTGAGACCTTTCAGTGATCTTGAGATCTAAACTCTGTAATAATACTTGGACACTTTTTGCCTTTCACTGCAGTGGTATTTACAGTAATGGTGCAAAAGCAATGATGGGTGAATCTGCTGGCCCTTTGGCAAGAATCAGGGAAGTTGCACCAAACTATATTATGCCCTTCACTGCCCATGAAAACAAAGAAAAACCTAGTTCCTTTTAAGAATAGCCTCAGGAGCAGCGCCTGTAGCTCAGTGGGTAGGGCACCGGTCCCATATACTGAGGGTGGTGGGTTTGAACCCAGCCTCGGTCAGCTAAAACAGCAGTGACAACTGCAACCAAAAAATGGCTGGGCATTGTGGCAGGCACCTGTAAGCCCAGCTACTTGGGAGGCTGAGGCAAGAGACTCGCTTAAGGCCAAGAGTTGAAGGTTTCTGTGAGCTGTCATGCCACAGCACCGTACCAAGGGTGACAGAGTAAGACTCTGTCTCTTAAAAAAAAAAAAAAAAAAGAATAGCCTCAGGCTGGGCACAGTGGCTCTTGCCTATAATCCCAACACTCTTGAGAGGCTGAGGCAGGTAGATTGCTTAAGTTCATGGGTTCGAGACCAGCCTGAGCAATAGCAGGACCCTGTAGTCTCAGCTACAGTGTCAGTTGGCTACTCGGGAGGCTGAGGCAAGAGGATTGCTGCAGCCCAAGAATTCAAGGTTGCTGTGAGCTATGATGCCAGGGCACTCTACCTAGGGCAACAAAGTGAGCCTCTGTCTCAAAAAACAAAGAAAGAAAGAAGAATAGCCTTGAAGAAATAGTAAAAATTATTTTGTTAAATCTTGAAAACCTTGAGAGCATGTCTTTTCAATATTTTTGGCAAGGAAATAGGAAGTACACAAAATACTTCTACTATGTACCAAATATTCTGGTTGTGCTGAGGAAAAGCACTTGCGGAGTTGTTTGAGTTGCAAGCTG